TGCTTCTGCCTCTGCCTCTAATATGAGCTGTTTGGGGAGAGAGGCTGTGTCAGGGCAGTGGTCTGAGTTCCTCTAGTGTCTCATTTCAAAGGCCTCTGGTTTCTAACTCCTACCTACTCCCTGCTCTGATTCATCTGCTTTGGTCAGTCATGCAGGCAGTGAACTTGATAAGACCCTGTCTCATTAGATTACTTCTCTGCTACATTCCAGCACAGCCCTGTGTGACTGCCTATAACATACCAAGTTGAAATCCCGTGACATGGTCCCCCAAGGCGCTCTCTACACAGACCTTCCCCATGTCTCTCCATGGATCTGGGTCACTTCCCCCTTGTGTAGCTGCCCAGGTTCTGGTCATATCCAAGCCATTTTCCTCCCTGACCACATGGTTTTTTATGTGTGGCTAGATACTTGATCTTTTCTCTTCCCAGGGTTCCCCTCCTACATGTACTTCTCACTGGTTGATTTTGTTTCAGGGTCACCTCATCTGACTCTCCACTTCCCAACCTCAGGATCTTGGGCTTTGCCACAACTTCCTGTGGGGCCCCTTGAGTGTTGCCATCACTCTCTCGCTTGACATTGAAATAATTTAGTGGCATGTCTGTCTCCTCCACTAGGCTATAAGCTTGTTTGATGGCTGAGATTCTCCTCATGTACCTTTGTAACCTGGTGCTCAGCAGACAATAAAGGTTGAACTTAAGGATCATGTTACTAATAAGTATTTGAGGTGTGACTGTAATCCAAGGGAATTTGGGTTGAAATAAGGTCTTCTTAGGGCAGCTTTTGGTCAGATTATTCCTGTTTAGCCTCTTTATCCTCGGGCTGATGAGCTCTGCTTATCAGCTGATTGGAAGGTTCATGGAGCCACTACTCAGGGTCATCACTGTAGGTATATACAGAGGAGAGGGCTTAGACTTCTCAGCCCTGTGTGGTTGTGGACTTTTCTCTTTGGATTTGCATGATGGCAGAAGTGTCACAGTTAGGATCACAATGAAACTTTTAGTAACTGGGGGGATTTACCTTTTATTGCACATAAAGAGCAGAAGGCAATTCCTTCTCCATTTGCCATTTTCAATTACTTGTTACTCAATTTTCAGATGTGAGGCAGCAATCATGTTACTCTCCTCCTTAGTTTCTTCAGTAAAATAAAGAGGTTGCATAGATCAGAGATTGGTACTCTGCAGCCCAGAGAGTTCCCTATAGGAAATTCCTAAACATCTATGCTATCAGAATTTTCATTAACATTTTATAGTCTTTCACAACTCACATATAATTAGAAAAACTTCAGGAAACAGTATAAAATTATTTCCAAAGTCATAACACACAGCTTTTTTTCTTTAATGAAAAACAAATTTTCTACTATACTATATTTTTTCTTCCTTTGGAATATCAATCAGTGTGAGCCTGGTGTTGTGGCTCATGCCTTTAATCTTAGCTGCTTAGGAGGTGGTGAATTGGAAGACCATAGTGAGACCCTATCTCAACAACAACAACAACAACAACAAAGGCTAGGTTTGGTGGTGTGCATCTGTCATCCTAGGCATGTAGGAGATGCAAATAGCATCACTGTGATCCATGTTGATCCTAGCAAAAATGCAAAACTGTATGCAGAAAAATAACTACAGTAAAAAGGGATGGGGCAGAACTTAAATGGTATAGTTCCTACCTAGCAAAGTGGAGGCAATGTGTTCAAACTTAATACCACAGGAAATTAAAAGAAAATAAACAAATAAAACATTAGCATGTAATCATGACACTGGCTGCAAATTGAAATGGGCTTATTTGCTAGGCGCCCATGGATTACATGGCCCCTTGGAATCCATGAGAATGATACCCAGAATGGGATTGGATTGATCCGCTGCTGGTAGGATCACAGGCTGAGTGTCTTTTCCTTCCTTCCTTCCTTCCTTCCTTCCTTCCTTCCTTCCTTCCTTCCTTGCTTGCTTGCTTGCTTGTCTCACCCTTGCTCTACACTTGGCTTTCTGCCAGCTGCCTTTGGTCTCATTTCATAGAGTCCACTTTCACCATCTTGCTCTGTCCAGTCTCTTAAGGCCATTTGTAACCTCACATGGCTCAATGTCTGGTGGATGAGGAGCTCATTTCTACCCTGAAAAATCATGATGCTTTTATTCTCTGGATGTGTGGAAAACAGAATTTTTGATATAGGTATGGTCATCTTGTCCATGAGTATGTCTGCTCTCAAAGGGAGGTGAGAAACAGCAAAGTCAGTATCTCACTGTGCAGAGAGACTCCTAGGTCTCCATCCAACTTCTCTCACAGAGCTTGACACTAGGTGAAAGGAAGGCTTGCTGGAATTAGTGCGCGTAAAGGCAGTATTTTTTATGAATCCACAGTGCGGTGTACTAGAGTCATCTTTCTCTGTTTTACATTCTCTCACTGATGTAAATTGGTTCTATTTTTCCCATTGAAATGAATGCTATGATCTTTCTATCTCCATAGATTGATGCTATCTTCTTTGTACTCTTAGCTGAGCAGGAGGTCCAGGACTCCTTTGGTTGTGCTTTTCAGCACTAATGTTTATGGGCCACACAGGGTTATCCAACACAATGCAGGGGCACTGTCCTTTAAGTGGACTTTAATATTTGCCCTCTGTTAGAGTGTAGTCCAGTGATTGAATCTATGGAAGGGACATAGCTTCCTCCTTTGTAAAACATAGTTCACTTTAAAAGGCAAGAAACGTGGAGGGCAGGATGAGGGGCAGTTACAGACCTAACTAACAGAGTTCCCATTATACCTGTTAGGCCCCACTAAAGGTAGATGCTGCTTGCCCTTTACTCAAAGGCTAATACCACAGAAGTGATTGCACCCAGCACACCTGATTTGGAAGGGTGTATGTGGGTACATTCATACAGTCATCCCTTCCTTCATGAAATGGGCTGTACCTGAGCTGAGAATAGGGACTATATAATCCATGCCCCTTGCAGTTACTAGAAGGGGGGATTGCCTCTCTCTGAGAGCTCTGTAACTTTGATGCTTATGAGCTGCTTAACATACTTAGGACTGTTCTAGACTCAGCCTGGTCCTAGCTCTACACTTGTATTTTGAATCTTCCTGTTGGACTTTCTTCACACTCACGCAGAAGGGACCACCTGCCATTTTGGGTTGCTTGGCAGCCTTTTCTCCCACATGCCTCTATGATTGTTTGAGGACAGCTTAAAGTATAAGAATAATTACTTCTATTAGAGGAAGCCAGGTCATTTAAATACCCAAGAGCTCTCCAGCTAAGCCAGAGGTGGCAGGACCTCCTTATGCTCTGTGCTGGTTGGGGCTATGCCACCTTTATTGGCATATCTCCAAAACTGAGGTGACTAAGAGGAGGAAGGAGAAGCTTTGGGAGCTCATGAGGGAAGGTAGAGGCTTACATATAGATGGAGCCTCTTACTGTCTTCTTGCTGGCATAGGGTGGGCTCTAGAGGGGTTTCAGGCTTCTTTTCCTGATTCATATGAGGAGTCTCCTGTCTTTTTCATTACCTGGTTTTCAGGCAGTGGCACACTTGGACTTCCCTTCCCTGGCACTCAGAGGCTCGTAGTACATCTGCACCGTGAGTGTGGTAGTGGAGAGTCAGGGGAACAGTTGGAGACTTTGTCACCCTTTCTCATAAGTCTATCCTACAAGTAAATGTGTATAGCCTTATCAGCACTACCTATCATTCAACTCAACCTAGTAGATGTGGATTAGTTTACTCAATAATGGCAGGGCACATGCTCTCTTCAACTGTATACCAAGTAGTCATCAAGATAAGCCATCTTCAGATTAGGAAGTTAGCCTTAATAAATGCAGAAAAACTGATATCTTCAAATATATGCTCTGTGTATATATTTAACTAGAAATTATTAACAGAAAGATATCTAGAAAATTTCAAATATTCACCAGTTAGGCAATATATCTCTAATAAGACATGGGTCAAAAGAAAAATCTCAAGATTGTTATTCCTGAATGAATTTAATGAAATATCCAACATTAGTTAATTTAGAATGAAAACACACACCAAAATTTGCAGGAAATAGCTAAAGCAGTGCTTAGACATTTAAAGCATTTGATATTTAGTTTTAAGCGCACAAAATAAAATTGTTTCAAATCAGTTAATTAAATTTCTGTCTTAAGAAACTAGAGCCAGGTGCTGATGGTTTACATATGTAATACTACCAACTTCTCTGTGTTTGGGGGCGTGGGGGCTAAGGCATTGGGAGGATTGAAGTTTGAAGTCAGCCTGGGCATACCCAATGTCTTTTTTTGATGACTGGTCCTGTGTGGACTTGATCTCCTCCCCTGATAAGTCTGGCCTCATTAGTGCATGTGAAATGTGGCCCACTGAACAGTGAGATAATAGAAGTCTGTGCAAAGCTTGATCTAGGGAACTCTGAGAGACTGGCATCCCCTCTTGCCTTGCTCTGGGCCAGGATTATTCTTATATATGCATGTACTCAGGCTCAGACAAAGGTAAGACTGGCTTCCTTCCCGGAGGACCACTGCATAACCTGGGGAAGTCCACTAGGCCGTACATCCACTATCTATGCTGCCCTTGGGTGTCTTGTGCTGCCTGGGCAATGGGGGTCCTAGGAGTGTTTGAGGTGACCAGCAGACCCAGGAAAAGGAGGGAAACAGAGACTTCTGAGCCAAAAGCATGAGGTTGCCAGGGCTGTAAGCCAGGAAGGAGACATTCTGTTTATCTGAATTGATTTTCTTGGTGTAGTTGGCCATACTGGGAGACAGTATATAGATAGAGATGTGGAGAGAAGGGGACTAGCAAGTAGGTGAGAATCTGAGCAAGACCTTCTCTACAACTCTCATGTCCCCTCTCCCTGCCCACCTGTTACACAACAGACATAGTTCTTGCTACTGTTTGAAGGGAGGGCTGTGTCCTAATAGAATAGAGGTATATTAGTCACCTAGGTTGTATGAGTTCTGTTCTCTTCATATCCTCTTGTGTTTGTACCATTGGTTAAGTCAGTTCAACTAATTGTTTTGTTCTTTATTTCAGAAAAACTCTACAACTCCAGTGGACGAGATTTAAGAAGGGCCCTTTTCTCCTTAAAGCAGATATTTCAGGTAAAAAGTAAAAAAGTAAAAGTACTCTTACGTTGTATTTTTGCTTTGCTATTGAAGTATACCTGCTGGGAGCAGCTTATCTGGTATTTATTACATACAGGAAAGTCTCTTTAGATTCAATTATGAATTAAGTCAGAATCTCTGAAGAGAATATTTTAGACATAAAATAAAGATAACTGATGATAGTTATAGTTGAAGTCCTTCCTTATGTTTCCCAGTATCAATCAACCTTCTATCCAGGCCACCATCTGGTTGTTGAATTTGATGTTCACCAACAGTAGGAGATAATATTTTGTGTTAACTTCATACGTATGTTATTATGCTCTGTGCATCTGACTACAGCTTACTTAATGGAGGGTTGAACGGGTGCAGGCCTGACTGACCAGAGCTCTGGTTGAGTATTACATTGTTGTGCATTTAGCACTAAGTATTTTGTGCATTCTGCTATTGTATATGTGTCCCCTCATCTGCACATGCAAGTCTTCCTCTCTGGTTCCATGTATCCTTCCCTCTTGAGCCTTTTTCTCATCCCTACCCTGAGAAAGTCACAAGCCTGTTGGAGTGATGTGCCAACAGATGTGCAAGCAGAGATTGGACAGATGTGTAGACAGGTCCCAAGACAATCAAAGACAAGAGGGCAGGATGAGCACTGAGTTTGTGAAGGTGACCTTTGCACAGAGCATGTCCATCTAGATCCGCTTTTTCTGTCTCTTGTGAGTTTGCACTTGAGGGTACTGGCCATTTCTCTTCAGTTCCTGATTTACCTGTATTAAGTGATTGGGTGGATTAGGTGCAAGAAGTAATTGGCAAAAATACAGACCAAGAAATTCATCTTACCTCTCCATTCTGTGCTGTTTTTCCTTCAGTTAATTCCATCATGCCACCCAGGACAGGATCCCCTTTCTTGTGGACATATCTGGAGACAAGTCTTCTTGTCCATCTTCCCACAGTCCCTGCCTAGCTCCATCCTGGCACACATCTCAGAAAGGTCCTTGTGTAGAGGCCAGCGTTGGTTCAGGCTCATCCTTTTCTCACCTGGAAAATGTTACTGCCTGCCTCTGGGGCCTCCCCCACCCAGTGCATCCACAAGGAGCTGAGGTGGTTCCTCTCTTGTTGGGTCTATGTTGCCTTCTGGATCACATCGGAATTTCTCAGTTTAACATTGAGAGCTTTGATGTGGCCTCTGGCTCTCTCTCCTTCTGGCTACATTCCAAGTTGTTCCTGCAGCTGTACACCATGAGAAGGCCATGATCTTTGTCTTTCACACCTTTGCCCCTAGGCCCATAATAACACAAGATACTTTCCTGATCCATCCCTTCTCTCATGCCTCTGTTTTGCCTCCTGCTGGTGATGCTCTCTCCAAATGGTCGCTCTTCCCTAGTCAGCATCTCTTTAAAGTACCCTGTGCTTACTCCTAGTGCAGAACTTAAGTATCCCATCCAGGCCCTTTTTTGAGGCCAGTAGTTTGCTAGTTCCATGATTTTATCACCAGGTCTTGGGTGCCTTGCACAGTGTCTGGTACCATTTAACAAATGAATGGATAGACTGCATTGAATGGTCTTATGGAAGATGTCTGTGACTTTAGGCTTTCCTGCCTCTACGTTAGGGAATGTTATGTACTTAATTGTATCAAAATTCTACTTCCCTTGTATCCCTCTGTGCCTTCACATTACTCATAATAACCAGACAAAACTTTTTTCCTGCCATTGAGCCACACTCTTGCTAAGTGCTCAGAGAGGCACATTCATCCTGCTGCTCATACTATATCATCCAGCACTCAACCTGCCTCTGGTCTCCATTACTAGTCTTTGACTATTTCCCTGATTAGGTATGCAGTTAGTGGCAGAACCATACAGAGAAGAGCTATTTCAAGTAGTTTAAAAAACTGCAGTTTGGATATATTCAGTAGGATAAACTTTAAGAACAAAAAGAAACAGAGTGGATTAATATAGCATTATTAGTAGTAACAGTGTTGGCATTACAATTTTGATACTTGGGTTTGTGAGATTCTAATTCTGCCATTCTTAGAGTTCTTAAAAATAGGAGTATTAAGGTAAAACTCTGTTGTCTTGGACTCAATTGGGAGTATCAGAATATCCCCATAGTGTATGCTAAGCCAGCAAATAAAGCATATGTTTAAAAGTGTTTATTAACATTAGCAAATGTGTTTATGATTTATTTAGAAGCAAGAGTCAATTCATTAGCAAAAAGTATCACTAGTAGAGAGATATTGGCCTAGAACATCAAAAAGAATAACTGTCCCTAGAAGAAGTAGTTGATGCTGTCTTTAGTAGGATATTACATGCTTACAATCTTTAATTATACAAAGAGCAGGAAGCTACCAAATATTACTAAAATTATTTCTCAAAGCACTGAGCAACAATTGAAAGGTTTCCCACTGACTGTCTAGAAATAGGACAATAAACAATGATAAAGATGACAGTTGCAATGGATCCAAACACATCAAATACGTATGGGCTTATAATGATACTAAAAATTAACAATACATTGGTAGAATGACTATGAAATGGATACCAGTAACCTAGCTCATTCCAAGAAAATGTTAGTGAACTAGGTATTTTGAAAATGAGCAAAGTTTCAGAATCTCATATTCATCTTGTCTTTCCTTTATGGACTTTAGGATAATTAAGTAGTCAAGGGGAAGTGTCATTTGCAGAAATAGTCTAGCTAATGAGTACAGAGTAGTAGAAGGTCACCTTTTGTGTAACACCTTATAAACAAATGGGCCTCTGTATTGAGCATCAAGAGTTTCTAACATGATAGAAATGAGGTACAACCAGACATTGTATACCTCCTGAGGGGAATGCAAACTTCAGTGTGATCAAACCAACAAATCAACCCTGAATTTGACCATGCTGTTATATGAAACAACCAATTATAGATGATATAGGCAAATGATAATCTATGCCACAGAAGAATAACAGTAAAATCCAGACTGTGGGCCACTTTGAAGGTCCAGCGACCTGGTTTCTTCAACACACAGTTATTAAGAAAAAAAGAGAGAGAGAATCCATGAATTAAATGACATTTCAAAGATATGTGCTGGTGGCTCATGCCTGAAAACTTAGCTGCTAGGGAGGTTGAGATTAGGAGAATCAAGATTTGAATCCAGCCCAGGCAAAAAAAAAGTATGTGATACACCCTCTCAGTTATTAGCTAGGCCTGGAGGCACATGCCTATTATCCCAGCTATATCAAGAAAACCTAGAATAGGTCCAGGCACACAAATGGGAAAGAAGTGAGACCCTGTGTCACACGTAACCAGCACCAAACAAGGCTGGAGGCACTAATCTAGCAAGTGCTCTGAATTTAAACTCTGTTACTGCCAAAAGAAAAAAGTTTCAAAGTCATGTCAACAAATTGCCTTGTGTGTACAAAGCTGTATTATAGATAAAAGTTGGAAATTTGGTCAATGTTGGACATTTGATAGTGACTTTAAAAAGTATGAAATCACTGTCAGTACCAATTTAAAAAGTTCCAAGTCAGGTGCTTGTACATCACACCAGTAGTCCTAGCTACTGAGGATATGAGGATCACAGTTTGAAGCCATCCCAAAGAAGAAAAGTCTGAGACATTTTTTCTTTGTTTTTGGTTGGTTGTGGGGCCTGAATTCTGGGCCTGGGCACTGTTCCTCAGCTCTTCAGCTCAAGGCTAGTGCACAACCACTTGAGCCACAGCACCACTTCCAGCTTTTTCTGTTTATGTGGTGCTGAGGAATGGAACCCAGGGCCTCATGCATGCTAGGCAAGAACTCTACCACTAAGCTACCTTCCCAGCCCAGTCTATGAGACATTTATCTACAACTAATTAGCAAAACATAAGACATGGAGCTGTGGCTCAAGTGGTAGAGTGCTCAAGGGCAATGTCCAGGTCCTAGGTTTAAGACCTAGTATAAAAAATAGTTTCTATAGTTTGGAGATACATATTGGAACAATATGGATTAGTTGATGTGACTGGGATTTGCTTCAGATTGACGGATGCAGTGGAACAGGCATAATTGGTATAGGAGCTATAGTTCCTTAAGCTATTTTGTTATCTTTCATATCTGATTAAGGTTTTTTTATTGAAAAGTTAAGAAAACAAATATGTTCATAGTTGTTACATTTATTTTCAATCTTCCACCTTTGGGTGTGTTCCATGAGGTTTCAGGACTGTAATTTCTACTGTTGATTCACTAAACAAATAATTTTTTTTTTTTGGTTGGGCATGGGGCTTGAACTCTGGGCTTGGGCACTGTCCCTGAACTCTTTAGCTCAAGGCAAGTGCTCTACCACTTGAGCCACAGCCCACTTCTGGCTTTCTGGTGATTAATTGGAGATAAGAGTCTCACAGACTTTCCTACCCAGGCTGGCTTTGAACCATGATCCTCAGATCTCAGCCTCCTGAGTAGCTAGGATTACAGGTGTGAGCCACTGGCATCTAGCTAAACAAGTACTTTTGAATAGCCTGATTGGCACTGTGTAGGCAAGGGTGAAGGTGCTGGCTCCCCAGAAGTTATAGACTGGAAGACCACAAAACATTAGGTAGCAAGGCACTGGAGATGGTTGGCATCACATAGGCAGCAAACTGTTTAAGACTTACATGGTTCCTTCTGTATCCATGGGTCCACCTTTCTCTATTCTCTCTGGTGTTTTCTACTTGGGGAGGTTCTTTTAGGAACTAAACTTTAAAGGCTTAATTAACAGAGTCATTGGCCATCTGGATCAAGTTGAATATTCCCTAATAGACATTTTAAAAAGAATCACGGGCTGATAGGCAATATTATTTTTTTAATAAAGTGATAATCACTTATCACTTAGTGCTAACATTTTTGTTTTATTCAAGCTTGAAACGAATGTTATAAAAATTGTTAATGCTTATGTATTTTAGGATCTGTATTTAAAACCAGGCAAGGACCTTGCCAATAGGGAAAAATTTTTTTCCCCTCTCTATTTCTTATCCATGAGCTAAGTACCTTATTGACATATGTGCATGCATTTTAGTTATGGTTCTGAATTCTTTATAAACACTGTCTCGCCTGTCCTGTGTTTTTTTTTTCTGATTGAGTGCCTTTGCCAACAGTCAGTTTGCTGGTAAATGAATATTAGTGATTAGCTTGAGCAGTTTCTTGAGTGCTTGTTCTCACTTTTTCAACGTGAAGTCATGTGTGAATCTAGTTTTAGTTAAAGTAATAAACATTTGTTACATGCTTGGAAAAAAACCTTCTGACTAGACATGAGCTCATCTAAAAGTCCACTTTTCACATATGCTGGTGGAAAAGGATATGGTGGAGAGAGAATTACTTTTTTATTTCCTTTATACACATATGAGTGTAAAGTAATTTTCCAAAAACTCACGATATTGTCCCATTTTCTCTTTCTTCCACAGCCGTGATTATCTCGAAGGCTGAGTTAACACAGCTGTCTTTCATTATTTTCGGGGCATAGGCATCTCTCCCCCTTCTCCTCGCCAGCTCTGACCCTGGAGTGCTGTGTTTCTTCCCAGGGACCCTTTGCTGCGTCTACCCACATTTTAGCTCAAGACCCCAATCCATATAATTGAAAAATGCCATCACAGAAAGAAAGGGTCTGATTTCATGTAGAGACAGGAGAATTATGCCAGTTCATGTATTTTTTTTTAAAAGAGATGAACCATGGTTGCTGACTACTACTGTAATAACCTTTCATTATTCCATTAAGATTTCTACTCTTCACATCATTGCGATTTCTTATTTTTGCCCATTATAACTGAAGATGGATGTTCCAGTCTTTTCTTAGAGGTTCTTGAGACAAGGTACTGTCCAACCCAGGAAATCTCCACATCTCTGTAGAGGAAGTGGTAGAAAAATCTGTCTTCTAAAGCTCTTCAAAATTGATGGGGTCTGTGGGCTGGCCAGACATCATAGTTCAGTGGTCTTGGCTGTGTGTGTGTGTGTGTGTGTGTGTGTGTGTGTGTGTGTGTGTGTGTGTGTGTGTGTGTGTGTGTGTGTGTGTGTGTGTGTGTGTGTGTGTGTGTGTAGTTTTGTATACTCTATCTTTAAAGATAAAATCTAGTACCAGATCTGAGGTTCTTGACTGAGAGCTGCCCCTTAGAACTTCTAAGGAATGTAATAGCAGAACCTGAACCCCACTCCAGGAATTCTGATTAAATCCATCTGCGTAGGGTCCTGCTCCCTAGACTTTCTAAAGCTTCCCCCAGACAATCCTCCTGTGAAGGTGCTGGGGTGAGAACCATCTGTATGAACCTCCATATCACCCAGAGACCTTGTTTCTCAGCCTTCTGAGTCAAGCTCCAGTCTAGGTCAAGAGTGAAGCTAGGCAATTTGTATGTCTAACAAGTTCCCAGGTGAGGCATCTGCTACCTCTCTGTGGGTTGGTTGGCCAGTTTAGGAAGTTCTCTTTGAGAACCATTAGATTGGATGATCACTGAGTTTCGTTCCCTATGTCCTGCCTTCTGCTGAGACTGAGGTGGCCTTTCTGCAGGAGAGTCTCACTCCTCCAGGTGGGTAGCTGGGCCTTTGGCATGATTCAGCTTGTGCCCTGCAAGAAGGACAGTGCAGGAGGTGAGAGAAACTGCCTTTTTAGCTTCTCAAAGAATATTTACAAGCCCCTTGTAACTGCCATCCCCAGAACTGTCTGCTGGTAACTGAAAAGGGCTTTGAGTCCTTCTCTGGATGATCTGAGCTATAATTGAATGTTTCCTGTGGTTAAAAACCCAGCAAAGTTCCATGTGGCCCAGTCTCTTGGGACCTATGGAGGGCCTGGAGTCTGGTAACTTCTGAAGAATGAAAAACAAAACACTTTAAGTATTTCTGACAGGCAAGGGATTCGTTTTCTTTATCTTTATTAGATTGCCCAGAAGGCAATAATTGGTCCTTGACAAACAGCAACGTAAAGACTAGCTGCAAAATTCCTCCTCTGGCAAGAGTTAAGATGCTTCATTTGAATAGAGCAGAAAATCCTTAGGGGCCATTCTGGCTTCAAAGGCTCCAATATAGTTTGAACAGTGATGTCTGGATGGAAGATGGATGGAAACTGTATTTGAAGTCATTTTTCTTTTCTTTCTTTCTTGCCAGGATGACAAGGATTTGGTGCATGAATTTGTGGTGGCTGAAGGCTTGACATGTTTGATCAAGGTGGGAGCTGAGGCTGATCAGAATTATCAGAACTACATTCTAAGAGGTAAGCCACACTAGACATGCAGCTGCCAGGCCTTTTCTGTGGAACTTACACACTGTGAGCCTTGTAAGGTACCTGGAGTCAAGGAAAAGATACATGGTGGTGAAAGACAGCATCTTCATGAGATTTATGGATTTCTAGTAATTACCTAGTGACAGCTAGTTTTACTCACTTTGACCTGGAGTCTCTTTTAGGCTAGTAAAAGATACAACTAACAGATTCTTACAGTCTTACCTGAAGAGGCAGGAATGCCTTAATTGGGCTCAGGTAGCATGTGCTACCTGAGAAGCCAATTGATTTCTTGGAGGAAAATATTTTCCCCACTTGGAATTATTACCTGGGACTTTCATCGAAGTGTTCATCTCTCATCTTCTCCTGTGTCTGAATAGGTCTGGGAACTTGCATGGAAAAGAATGATTCTCAATGTCATTGATTCTCTTTGCCATTCTTGTGAAAGCATTTTCAAGCATGGATTCCTGCTGTAGTTCAGATAGCCAATGGGTTTTCATAGTAGTAGTGGTGTTTGTGCACTTGTGTTAATTTGATCCTGCCACAACAACAAAAAAACAACGTCTCCTACACAGCTCTACACAAAAACTGGATAAGAACTGCAGGAATGATTGCTGCTATGAATAGTTTTGATCTACAGAAGGAGAGAATTCATGTAGCTCAATATTTCTGTTTTTCTAGTTGAAAAAGTTGGAAAAGTTGAGCCTTTTGCTTAATGAAGTTACTTTTTTTGAGTGTGGCAAGCAGAGGCTCTGTCCAGGCCCTGGAGCCTGTCAACATGGGTCAGGATTTGCCTCTCAGTTTCTGTGTTATTACCCTACGTACTGCATGTTGGTGTTCATATAAAACACCACAACTCCCTCCTTTTTATTTCCTTGGATGAAGGGAAATGTAAGAGATATGTGATTTAATCAGAGGTCCCTGGTTAGAGCTGAATGAGTCAAAGAGGGAAGGCATTTCATCTGTCTTGTTTTGAGATGGTTCCTTATGTTCTGGGTGGTTATCCAGCACATCCTAACGGACTCTTCTGCACTCTTGGAAAGCCATACAAGAGAAGACATAAAAAAGAAAACATAGGTCTCATGTCATACAATTTTCAGGTCAGTGTTGTTTTCATTAGTTTTGGTAAAATGCCATGTGTGTGAGGGTAGGTCTGCTCCTTGGCCTCTCATTGAGCTTGGTGGTGTATGCATGGCTATGTTTGTGAGGTGGGGCAGTAGCCTCTTTGGGTTATTTTCTAGTTTTCCTCCAGCTTCTCACAGATCCTCATGGGTTGTCAGGAAGGATGCCTGACTGACAAGGTTTATGAGTTGTGTCCTGCATACTATGTAAGCATTTACAGGGAAGCCATACTTTGGTATGTAGACAAATGTAGCACAGCCTTTGTCTTGCAGTTATATCCAGAGATGGCTCTTTCTGTATCCAAAGTGACAGGTTAGGCCTGGATTCCCATTCTCCCATTTCCATTTGTAATGGTCTAACTCCTTAAAGAGGGGAAACGCCTAGAAAGAGGGAGGAAAACTTCCATTGGTTTATTTTTCTCATTCATCATATGAACATTCATAAGTTGAACTTCATGACAGGAAATATACCTAAAGTTGTCTCATTATGAATAGTCCAAACTGACATTATGTTTCTGATCATGCTTAAACTATGTATCATTTCAAATTTGCCAAAAAGTCATCCCTGACACAGAGAAAAAAATCTATAGAGGTAATATTATAACCATCCATAGGCTTCATTATTACTTGGAACTTCATCTTGGAGCATTGATGTTCATTTTAATAGAGTAAGCATCTGTCTTCATCTATTTCAGTCTAGGGCATAGCTCTTTCAGCTATGGTCAGCTCCCATTTATCAGAAAGGCAAGAATTTTCTCAATACCCCACCTTCCAGATTTCACATGGATTAGAGGTAGATTGCATAACCACCTATAGCAAGAGAGGTGAGCAAAGTTAATGGAAGAGGCAGCCAAGAAGAAAGTTAGCTTTGGGCCTGAGAGTGATCAGACCTAGCCATGTAATGGTTAGGACAAGAAAATATTGTGTAACTGAAAAACCCTCCCTAATGAGCAAGTGAGTGTCTGTCAATGGCCTTCACATTGCTCATCAAATTATTGTCCAGCTTCATGACGTTCAGTGGCTTATATCACCTCTCAAATGGTAGACAGGTATGAACTGTGCTCCCCAGCAACAGAAGGTGTGTTGATGATAGGGAGTACACTCTGCCTTAGTGATTGTTAAATCTGTAGCTTTTGTGTTGCTCTGATACATGCTGTCAGAACAGAATGTTGGTGGATCAGAGCACTGGCAACCACCTGCTGCTTCTCTATCCACACAGAAAATGTCAGAGCAAGGTAAGAAGACCTGGACTGCAGGCAGCTCTTCCTAAGAAATCAGGAGGTTCTATGTTTCACTGCTATCACCAGGGCCGGGACTTCCTGTTTTGCTTTCCAATAATGTGTCCATTTACTGGTAACCAGAGTCTTTCTATGTGATCCCTGGAAAATGAACAAGTCTTCACACCACTGCAAGGCATTCTGCTCTTCCACAGAGGGAGGTGTCTTTGTGTGCCTGCTCCCAGTCTGCTGAATCTCAGAAGAGTTGCAGTAACCAGGGCACTCTGCCCATTCATCAGCTTACTTTGATCTAACTGACTGAAGCCTGTGCCAGGAAAAGTACCTTCTGGGGCACATAAATGACAGATTTCTTAGGGTGTGACTTTTTTGTTTTTATATAAGAAAACTATCACTTCCAAGTGCACATGTTGAGTCATTTCTCTGTGACTCTGACAAACTTCTCATGAAGGTTTTTTCTGAAGTAGCAATCAGCTGCCAGCAGCCAGCAGACATTTGTAATGAAGAGCAAGCTAGAATTGCCTCCCTTTGCCCAACCATGTTTTAAATCTATTACCTTGAGTGAGTAGTTGGGGAGGCAAATGCACAGAAAGAGAGAGAGAGAGAGAGAGAGAGAGAGAGAGAGAGAGAGAGAGAGAGAGAGAGAGAGAGAGAGAGAAGAGAGAGAGAGAGAGAGAGAGAGAGAGAGAGAGAGAGAGAGAAAGAGAGAGAGAGAGAGAGAGAGAGAGAGAGACGACAATAGTGCAGAGCTTGATTGTTCGAGTCCTCTGGAGAAGTTTGCCCTCCACAGACAACCTCAGGAGTTCTACTTGGGGTGATCATGCATTGGTCCCACAGCCCAAAGGCAGTAGCACACTAAGAAGCCAGCACCTGCCCACATCTGCTCTTAGAACCCTTTCAATTTTTCCTCATTTTTATCTTTAGCCCTCTGTCAGCTCTCATTTTTATTCTATGAAGGGTTAGGAATCCATCGCTTTCTGTTGAGCATGTATCTGTTGAGAGGTAAAGATAGATTTGAACTACAGAGCAGCCAAGTGTTCCCCACAAATGTGAGCAGGCTGCTGGGAAGAGCTCTTAACTGCACAGCACGGAGAAATAATGCTTATCTGACTTATTATTCTTGGATGCATATAGCTAATGATCTGAAGTTTTTCAGAGGACCCAGTATTTAATGTAAATCTACTGTGGAATTTTTTACCTCATGATTATTCTCGTAGAAGGAGGACCTAGTATATTCCTGGGAATGTGAACTTTCCTCAAACATTACCAAGTCCTAGCTACTGGCCATGGGCCCCATCAGTCCCTGGGGTTGACGTGATGAAACCAAGACCCAAACCTGCCCTGAAGCAGATGCCTGGCACCTTTTATGTGTTGTCTCACATGTGTCTTGTCTGTTTAGGAACTGTACATGTATTGCATGCTTTGCGGGAGAGAAGAGAAGAACCAGCTGCCCTTCTTGGCTGTACCTTAAGAGACTCTGCCTCTTATAATGGGCTAGTTTCCCATGCAGAAATATGATTGGCCAGTTCACCCATAGCAAAATATCAAGTAATCCTAAACACCTCAGTTATTATCAGAGTTATTTTAAAAGCTAGATAAGATCCTAAAACTTACTTAGCTCAACCCTTTCATGCTACAAGCAAAATTCAGCTACTCTGTTTGCTTTCACGGTATCTTTTAAGGGTTGTCAACATTTAAAAATGGGGAGATCTGATATTTAAAAAATGAGTACACTCAGATGCTAGTGGCTCATGCCTGTAATCCTAGGTATCCAGAAGGTTGAAATTGGAGGATTAAGGGTTGAAGCCAGCACAGAAAGAGAAATCGGAGAGACTCTTATTTTCAATTAACCAGCAAAAGGTCATAAATGGAGATGTGGCTGGAGTGGTAGAGCACCAGCCTTGACTGAAAACTAAGGGTCAATATAGGGCACTGAATTCAAGCCCAGCACTGATGCGCATATGAATACACACACACACACACACACACACACACACACACACACACACACACACACACACACACACACACACACACACACACCTCTTAAGAGTATAAGCCTTTAAAAAATCATTAGCAGGGGCTGGGAAGGTGGCTCAGTGGTAGAGTGCTTGCCTCGCATGCATGAGGCCCTGGGTTCAATTCCTTAGCACCACATAAGTAGAAAAAGCCAGAGGTGGTGCTGTGGCTCAAGTGGTAGAGTGCTAGCCTTGAGCTAAAGAGCTAAGGGACAGAACCTAGGCCCAGAGTTCAAGCCCCACGACCAAAAAAAAAAATCAGAACCAGCATTAACCATATGGTACCACAGGAAAAACCCCTAAATGTCATGTCTTTTGGGGATTCCCTAATGGGAACCAGAGTTCATAGTCAAATGAGATTTGCTGGCACCAACACCAATAGACACAGACATATCTTAACAGAGGAAGAGGTTTGATGTGAGAGGAGGCTGGCACACAGTCCAGTGGTATTTAAGTCCATGTCTTCCAAGCCTGAACAATGGGGAAGTCTATATTGCACATGTCAGAGTGGAGTTGATGAGCACAGGGAGGTCAGTGTACCAAAGAGTAAGGGGAACCAAACTGGCCCTAAAAAAGAGCAGAGGCTGGTTGCTGAGCTAAGTTAGATCCTCCCTGCATGC